TTCTTTCTTTCTTTCTTTCTTTCTTTCTTTCTTTCTTTCTTTCTTTCATTCATTCATTCATTCATTCACCCACTCGTTGCGCAAATCATTCAAAGGGTGCCGGGGACCTTCCGGGGCTGCAGGTGACCCAAACAGCCCAGCCCTGGGACGCGTCGCGGTCCCCGGGGTCCCGGGCTGCAGTCAGTGCTCCCGATCGCTCCCGACCGAGGCTTACCTGGTTCCCGGTGGCAGGCGGGAGCGCTGATGCTGGGTCAGAATCGGCTCCAGCCTGGCGGGCGGCGGCGCTGCGGACGCGGAGGCCGGCAGTTCCCGAGCCGTTGCTGCAGAACCCGCCGGCGTTCCGGCTGTGCGGGTGACGTCTGGGGCGAGGAGAAGGGTACCTGGCTGCCCTCCACACCCCTGGGCCATGGGAACCCTCTGGATCGTCTAGAAATAGCCACGAGAATCGGAGGTCCTTTTCCTCCGTCTCCGGGTAACAAACACAGGCATGCGTTGGTCATGGCGGGGTGGATGTGGGTAGGGGTGGCTTGAATTTACTCCGTTCACATTTATTACTAGCTTTTACAGAAGATTCCACTAGGTGGGAATGTAGGGAAGGATTTCTCGGGTAGGCATGGGAGCCAGGGCCCAAGTAAGGTCAACGGACTTGCCTAAAAGCGAGACTATTACCCTGTTCCCAATACTCCTAGAGGCATGAGATAAGCCTTAAAATTTCTCTAACTTTAGATTCTTAAGATTCTCCAAAGTTTCCTTTAAATTTCTACATTTTGGATGACTCTAAAGGGCAGGAGTCAGTTTCAAACTCCAGTAACAGGTTTGAGGTGTTTGACATATGATCTCATAATGGGGCTGGCCTCTAATTACTCACTACATTGCAGAGGCTGGTCTTGAACTGCTGATCCTTCCAAACGCTGGGATCACAGGCTGTATAATGCGTGTGTAAAACATATAAACATTGCATATATGCATACACATATTATATTCATGAGAATGTGTGTGTGTGTAAGAGGAGACCTTCCTGAAATGGAATGACTTTCCTACTAATAATTTATGTAGTTACATATATGTGTGTGTATGTATACATATTTCTCTTTCCCTTCCAATGCGGGGATGGAACCCAGGCCCTTGCAAATGCTAGGCTGGCCTCCAGCCTGACAGCGCACATTCTTGATGTCTATTCTGACCTTGGCCATGACTCCCTGTGGTTCTTCAGCGTGAGAAAATTTAAGAGCTACTTGAAGCGTCTGGAGGGAAAGCCTCTGCTTTGAGGCAGGGTTAATATTTCCTTAAGGGGCAGATTTCGTCAGCACCCCCAGGAGTAAGTCATGTGTCCTTGAGCAGACAGGAATGCAACAGCTTTCTGGACAGGGCCTGTCTGTTCTTGCAAGGGTTTCTTGGAAATTGCGGGCTCCAATGAGCAGGTGGCTTGCAGTTCAAAGATCTTTTGGCTTTTTTCCCCCGCGACTCTGTCACAGTCAGTGGCTTTCCGCCATGGCGCCAGGCATTCGCCAAGCCGACCACAAAGAGGCGCGCGCGGCATGCGCTGCTGTCTCCTCCTCCGCGTCCTGGAGGTGCTCAGTCCTCGAGAGTTCCTGCCTCGGCGCCCCAGCTTGGTCTCTCTTCTCGCGAGAGCTGCCTCCCTCTCGCGAACCCCCCCCCCCACGGGCAGGTTCCATATTGGGTAAGATCTCGGCTGGCCAAGCGTTGCCTCCGGGAGCTGTTCTCGCGAGACTTTCGCGATAGGCTCCCGGTCGTTGCCTGGAAGATCTCGGCCACAGGAGCCCGAGCGGGCGCTGTGGCGCGAGCGGGTGTTGTGCGGGGTCGGCCCGGGCAGCGGCTGCAGGG